TCCTGCTGCTCCCTGGACACAGTAGGTATTGCTGGTGAGGTCCCTAGACCTTGCAGTGGACTTCATTCACCTCTCTCAACCAAATCTATGCAGAACAGAGATGAAATGTAACAGTATGGCAGCACACTCCTCATTTTCTGAGGATAACCTCTGCTCCCTCAATCTAGTTTCTTCACAAGTGTAAAATTCACTGAGAACATTTGCTATTTTCCACTCATTTAAAAAAACAAATGTTAAACACTGGGAATCAATTGTAGGTTACTTTAGCCTAAACTCTGCCAGCATTGTCACTCCTCTCATATTGGATACCTTATGACAACTAAAGTAGAATAATCCACTGATGCAAAAAAGGATTCAATTTTAAAAGGCACATTCTCATTTGAAATTAAATAATGAAAAGTTTAGCTAGATGAATGCTGCAAATATATGCTCTATTGTTTTCTAGTATTTTTGGTTGGGATTTGTTAGACAGGAAACAAGTTCAGATCATACTTGTGGTGCCACATATCACAAGGTTACTCTAAGTCCACTGCAAACCTCTAAAATGAACTCTTAGTCTATCTCTTACCATGACTTATTTTCATTTTATCTATGCCTTGCCTACATAGACATAGAATCAAATTTAAAATTGTCAGCTTAATTGCAACACATAAACAATTTGTGCTGTAACAAAATTTGACAGAGCTGTGGTGCATTGACCTTGGCTGGCCCCCAGGTGCCCACTAAGCCAACTCTATCATCCCCCCCTCCATTCTTCACTGACTTTGGTATCTGCATAGTTATTTCTCAAACGTATTCTCACTCCTCCCTCCCTGCTGCTGTGTTTTTTACCCTTCTTAAATATGTTATCACAGGGGGGTTACCAACATCACTGATTGTCTCAGCTTTGGCTGGTGGTGGGTTCATCTAGGAGCCAGTTGAAACTGGCTCTGTTTGACATAGGAGTAGCTTCTGGTATTTTCTCACAGCCCTCCTGCTACCAAAACCTTACCATGTAAAACCAATACAGTAGCAAGTGCAAATAGAGTTGTAGCAGTGTTCTTCCTTTGTCAAAACACATTTATGACCCTGCTAGCCAGATAAATATGGAAGCACAAAAAAACAGTAAAACTGATAAAAAATGGTCCTTTACTTTGTTGGATGCTTAACATGTTATGTATTCTACGCAAGGAGTTACTGAGGATGCAAACAATTACTTTAAGAATAAGCAAATAAAATGAACAGATCATATACGTAGGAATGGAGTCTGCAACATTTCTGGAAAAACTGAAGCATTTTTCGTGACTGATAGACAATTGTTTAACAACACAAGAAGAAACTTGGTGGGAATCTGGTGAAAAAAACAATGTCAAACATTTACCTAGGGTTCAAATGCATTTGACAGCATTTATGTTTTGTGAAATTTGCTTTTGAATTCCAGTCATGAATACACAACTACATGGGACTTCAAACCACAGGGTTTTGATCTAAACCAAATGCTTATCCTCTCTTCCATAGAACATCCTTAGTCCTCTCTTGTATATCACAGCATGAACGTGTTTTACTGGGGAAAATCCAAGAGTTCAAAATGTGATTTGTATTATGAATTGTTTTAGGTATCTCCTGGACTATACTGCAACTTGCTTCCAACCTTCACTCTTAGGAAAGAGTCTGGTTATGCTATGAGATAATTCTCAGACAGCTGCAAGTCTTTCCCTTACAAGGAATCTCTACATTGTTTAGTCTCTGGCATCTGTATTTCCTAATTGTCCTCTCAGCATGAGGAATCCCTGGGATGCCATAACTAAGTGATCCCCAGACAACCTGCTTGAAAAATAATTATCTCTTTTTTTTTAATATTGTTTTATAACTCAGATTATCAGCATTTATCACCAGGCATCTCAGCCCTTGAATTCCTGTTGTGTTAGACATTACACAAACATACATTAAAACTGCTGGTCCTGCCGCAAAACATGTACAGTCATACAATTAGGGAAATAATCCACACAGTGAACAGGGGTCAAAGTGTTGAGTGTTCCTTCTGATTAAAGATTAAAACATATAGCCATTGCTATTACTGAGGAAGTACATTACTTATCGATTTATTACAATGCTATTGCATTACCTGTGGTTCCTTATTGTGTTGGCTAGGATCCTTTTCATAACTCTCTGCATATATCCGAAGAGTAGCTCTCACATGGCTAGAAGCACTCATTCTGAAGATGAGCCTGGAAGCATCTGAAAAAATAATCCGCAGCCCCTATGGAAGAAGGAGAAACAGCATATATGTAAGGTGGCAGTACCTTCACAAATCACAGTTTACTGATTTAAAACAAAAAGTGAAAGACAGAGTCACTTGGATGCAATTCCTCTTTCCTTGTAACTTTGGACAACTCATTTATTACTCTTTTTTTCCCCCTCTAAAGACTATAAATGATCTTGTGTACTCCTTCCCACTCCTTATAACAAGGACTCTTACCGCTGTTTTTATTTTCTTTAGATGATTTTTTCTTGTTCTGTGTGGCAGAGCACAAAATCAATGGCCTGAGAAATAGTTATAACATCATCAAGGATCAGTGGCTTTAAGAAATAGCTACAGGCTCTCAGGATCAAAAAACAATTGTCTGTAGTGAATACAAAACACAGGTTCAGTTGTTATCCCTTATAGACCATGCATCAGTATCTGCAAGGATTTCAAGAAGGGTCTGTAGTACAACTTGGGAAACTTAAGGTGTTAATTAATTTCAAGTACGATAATTAATGTACATTAACGGTGCGTAGAATAAAAGCATTTACTATTAAGTAACTGTGAATTTGCTTTTTGTTTCCCATCTTCATCTCTTTTTTCTTTCCTCCTCCCCCCTTTCATACCGTATATATGAACACATTATTATACAGACCACAGACCACATACTTGGATCCACAGTCAACAGACTTACTGTACAGGAAGGCCATTAAGGCCAAAGGACTAAATTGCACAGTTAAATAGTTGTAATGTTTCAATACTAACAAGCAGTTTACTTCCCTTTCTGTAAATGGTAACCTTAGTGCCACCTCTGCTATGTCACTGAACTTATTTCCCCTTCTAGTCCTGCTGTTGACAAATATCTAGTGCGTAAACCGAGATCCTTGCTACTTTTGTTTAAGGGGCAGTAAACCATTAAAAAATTAGAAAAGAGAATTAAGATAAAATAATTTTATTCTTTATCAGCAGCTTGAGAAGACACTGCTGTTAGCAACACAGTGCTCTAATATTCTAAAGTATAAGTAGAAACCTTTGTTTCCTCAGGTATATGCCAAAACATCTTCAGCACCAGGTAAAGCACTGTTTGGTTGATAATCACAGAATTACAGAATTGTTTGGGTTGGCCCTTTAAAGGCCAGTTTGATGTTATAGTTAATGGCACTTGGGATGTTTACACAACATAGATAGACATATGACTAGCATTCATAAAGCTCACTGTACTATCTCTGAGCTTATTATTTTCTTCATTTTGCATTTCTCAGGGACACATGACTGACAGTATTGATTTTCACACACATGTGATGTCAGCTAATATTTGTCTGTAAGACTAGGATTCCTGCCATACAGACAAAAATACTCTGTAAAAGGGAATTACAGAGACACAATGGCTGTACTCTTTAAAAACAATAATCCTAAGTGCCAGAGAAAAAAACATATGCTAGGGAAACAATGGCCTTTAGAGCTGGACTGCCAAAGTCAACCTTCACAATATTTGTACCTGGAGATTTAGTTCAACTCATATTTCAGAGAGCCCAGCAGAAAAAATTCTGACTTCTGACTCTCCCTTGGAAACAGTGATTTAAGCACTAGCAAAGCTTTTCACTCAGGAAGGGCACAGAAATCAATGAGAGCCATTAAATTTTTATATTCCTCACTGTTTTCTGGAAATTACACCTAAAAGCTGTGAGTTACAAACATTTGTTAAACACAAAAAGAAACCAGCCAAAAACACTGTTATCAAATAAATACGGAAAAGCATTGCCTGGAGAATAACCAATGCCTTTGCATCTTTTGTAAAGACAAAATCAAACAGATTTTCCCCACTTGTTACAGAACACCCAGTCTAACATATAAAAGTTTTCCTTTTTGACATTCTTGAGCTTTTGTGGTCACTAAGGTCAAAGCAAGATGATGAAGCTGCAAGCAGCCTACTTACTGTTTGTAATGATGGTATTTTTTCACCTGACTTAAGCTCCATTAAGTTAAAGCCACATATTTGATATTTATTATATAGGTGTCAGCTCCATGAAATACAGAATTTTATATGCAGAACTTATAAACTGACACAAGAGGAAAAAAAAGAAGAGTAATACACTGAAAAGCCCACAGAATAGAATAACTTCCAGTTTCAATAAAATAGGACACAGTCTTTGTCCCTAATAAGAGTAATGTTTTCTTATGGGAACAGATTTTTTTTTTCTGGGAGGAAGCAGATGAAAAAGTTCAGTACAGCTCCCACGCTGAACATCTGCAGATATTTATTTTAGGCAAATTGGGCCTGCTAATTGATATTAACAAGCTGTGTGGAAACTGAAACAAAATTATGTTCCATGGTCAACCCACTGACTTTGAGACCAATGTGACGGACCTGGAGCTTCACTGGGTTTTCTCTCTCTTACATTACAATCCAGTTAGACAGCCTACTGATGTATTAGTATCTATGAAGTACTCAGAAAAGTAAACCTACTATATATTGTACTATTTAGCTTGGTTTCCAGTGATTTGAGGCTTTTTCAGATACCAATTTCATAATTAAATAAATAATTATAAATTAGCATAAGTTAGCATGAACAAGACTAAGCAGCAAACAATGCACAATATCTTAGATTTCAAAAAACATTATTAAAGTATAATGGCAGGGAGTAACACCAGTAGAAAATCTAGCCTAGCAGCAACATATTAGGCACAGAGGCATATACACAAACTAGGAGCATGTAAAATGGCTGTGCTTTTACTTCAAAATACTGCAATTATCACAATTTTTATTTACTCCTCTACGGACTTCTGAGTGTCCCACAGGCACAGCAGACCACACTCACTATTCTGACAAGAAATACCTTATTACTGATACATGATGGAAATACCATTCTGAACAGAGAAGAATGTTTGCCTTATCTCTGCAGAGTTATCTGAAATAACTTTTTTTCCAGCTTTTCCAATGCCTGTTTCCTGACTCTTGCTCAAAGTGAAATGCAAAAAACCCAAGACTACATGCAGAGCCCTTTGCAACCCAAATCTAATGAAGGAGGGAAAAAATATTAATGAACTTCTAATAACAACACTCCAGAGTTTAATTTTGTGAATCAGTATAAAACCATGACCATTATAATGGGCAACTTGTACTTCTGATAATTCTAATTCAAATTTCATACAAAAATGCAACTGGTCCCATTTCTGGCTTGCAGGATCCTCAGGAGCACTACTGTTACATAGTAATGTGCGCAAAGGCTAGCACAATAGGACTTTAAAAATGAAAACAGGATTCAAGAACAGCAGAACATTTCATTTAATTTTATGCCTTACTATTGCACTGTGATAAACAATAGTGATGGATTTCAGACATCAAAATTAATTAGAAGGTACAGTCTGGGCATCTTGTTTGCTGCCTATTTTGTTGTTGATGTGTTTGTTTTCTGAACCTGTTGCTTATTAACACTGATTAGTTATCATGTAGCCAGCTTCTCATTGATGACACATACTGCAGTGACACTGAATATAAATCTCTCTCCCCTTCCTACTGGGGAACAAAACTTCGACCAGGTTCCTGAAAACAGAGCTCGAAAATCTGCATGAAGCTCACGACAGTCAGAAAGAGTCATCTGCATTTACACAAATAGCAAGCTACCCGAGGAAAATGGCAGCAGTGAACTGTTGTTTCACTTGCATGGATCAATGTCCTCTCTTATTTTATTGTGATTGGAGAATCCTACCGAGGCTGCAGACACATGGAGTAAGGAATGTGTCCTTGCCAAAAGACAAACAGGTTGAACTGTACTCTCAATAAATACGTGCTTCTCCCTATGAAAAGACATGCTTTCTGGTTTTATGGGCTGACTTTCAGAGTCCATCTGAAAACAAGCCAAGTCATGTTTCTCTGTTTGTGTTACATGGTGATGTGATTATATTCCAATTTAGGACAAGGGCTTCGGACGAAAATTAAGGGAAAGAAAAGTGCACTGAAAATTCACAAGCTGGTTTTTAAAAGTATAAGGACCACAAGTCTGCTGTGCCTGTAATTTTCCAGTGGACTTGGATATGACAATATCCTCGTATCTTGTTTCAGCAGTACTATGCACAAAGAGAGTAGCTCAGTGGCAGGTGGGCTGCTTATATTATCTCAATGCAATGATGAATGGAAACTATAAAGACTCTGAGCAGAACTGCATGACAATAGTTTTAATGGCTTGTAATATCATTTGCTAGGGTCTGCCCAGGTCAAGTAATTTACAAACCAGAGAAACTAAGACAATAAAAATAAACAGCATAAAATGAGAACACATTTTAATATAAGTCATAGCTCATATTCAAGATGTTTGCATATACACTTACACCTGGCAAAAGTACATGGTTGGTTTTGGGCACATCATGAATCTGAAAACACTGAAGGCTCAGTTTGAACTCCAGGTCTTGATAGCTAAGGAATCTCATTATGGACACACCCCAGAAGGAACACAGAACCAGTCATTTGGGCTAGAGAAGTCGAACATGCCCACATATGGTACAATCCACTGAAGTCTTCTGCATGATATTTGCTACAACAAATAATATGCCTTAATTATGCAAACCCTGTGGATCACCAGGAGCAAGAAAATTTAAACTTTTTTTGTAATGTATAGCAAGTGGAGACTTCAGATAGAAAATAGAAAAAAGCACAGACTGTCTTTCTACACGACATTTTGCATTGTTCTGGAAAGTGAACCCTCCCTATCTGTGCATTGCTGTCAACAGGGACTCCATCCCGTCCTACATTCTCTGTGACATTACTGCCTCCAGTTATGCCCAGCAAGTGCAAGCTAAACCAGAGGTGGATTATCTTATCCAGACTGAGCTAATCTTAAATAGGAAACGCAGTATCTATCAGAGCAAAGAAAACACCATACTATAAATAAATGGAGAGCCTTGCCAGCTGAACATTGGAAACAACACCATAAGAGACAATATGACAGTTGCAAAACTTTGCTTCTCCACCACTACACCCATACCTGTCTTTTGGTCACAGTGCCATCCACAGGATCTACGTACTCAAAGCTGTCTGTTCTTTCCACACTGTAGATATTGTTACCCACAGCAAATTGCTGGTGGCTGAACGATTTGTCAGTGATCAAAGCTTCCAGGTCTCTCATTATGAAATATGCTGTTCTGGGTTCCAGTGCTTCATAATCAAACCTTGCACATACATTAAAAAAAAAAAAAGTAGAACCAAGAAGTAAGGCCCCTACAGCTGAGAAAACAGTTCTGCTTTCACAGAACTCAATATACTCACAATTAGAAATTTACTGTTTACTTCAAAAATCAGAGGTGGACCACTGAAGTACTGACTGCAAATTAAACAAGCATATGCATGCAAATCCTGTGCAATCTGACCAGTATGTGTGTGCACCAGAGTTCTACGCTGGCCACCAGACTCTGAGTCAACAGAAATCAATTACAAAATGCACAGTTTCTAGAGCAGCATAGAAGAAATCACCGATACACAGCTAGCTTTCTGAGATTAAGGACACAATCAGTGCCATGATCAAAAGCCACATGAAATAGAGAAAACTCTACTAGAAATTTTGAGGAAAAAGCTGTGTGCAAAAGACCTTGCAGATACGTAAACTCCCCTGGATTACAACTGCTCTGAGAGAAAGAGAGAGGCAGCAGCTAAGATGTAAATGACAGTTAGAATTCAGCCATTTGAAACTTTAATAAAAATGAATAAATGTTCGGATCTTTGGAGCAGTTCTCCTGAACCAAAAGTAGGCATAGTTCCAGTTCTTATTAAAACAGTCACATGGAAGCACATAAACAAATGCAGGAGTAAATCTTGCTGAGATTTTGATTTTTTTTCAGCACCATGCAATGAGCTATGCCAACAGATTCCACAAGTAAATAATCCAAATCTTTCTCAAAGATATAAAAAAATTCAATTACTCATATACCAGAAGTGACATATACACGCTGCTCCTTCAGTAAGTAAATAACTTCTGCTGCCACTTACTCATCAGAAAAAACCTGCCTGCAGAATGCCAGCAATCTGTGGCAGATTTTCATTCTGTGGATGCAGCAAATGCACAATTCAATGAAGCTCAGCACAGCCAAACAAGCCATGGTGGTAGCAGAATTGTCCTATCACCTGCATAGGTTCCTGTGCCTTTTCGTTATTTTTCTCACCTGCAGTAGTAGTGCCGGCCAAATTTTGTCCAGTGATCCCTGACAATCTCCTCCACGGTCTGCTTTCGAGCTGCTAGGATTGAAAGCCAAACTAGCACAGCCCATAGTCCATCCTTCTCTCGAAGGTGATCAGACCCTAAACAGACATACGTAAAGCAAATCAGAAAATATGGTAAAGAGTCTGAGCAAAAGTCTCATTTAACTTTGTATGTCATGTAACAGTAATCAACAGTACTAACCTCAGCAACTCTGACATCTTCCAGACAGACAACCGTAAGTGATAGTTAAGATGTGATTTATTTATAATGACAAAGTCTGTACTCCCAAGATTAAATAAGAAGATGTACAAGTATTTGAATACAAATGGTAGCAGGAAAACATTTTTAGTCATTATTCCTGCTCAGTATCATACAGGGTGCTTTCACACCTCTGGTACTGTTTCCCAGAACTGATCTAGATATGCAAACCCCTGGCCATGAACCAGCATGTTCTGAGTTATGTGGGTCAAGTTCAACAGCATCTCCTTATCTCTGCAGATGTTCATCTGTCAAGCTGCAGAGAAAGAATTTTCCCATTCCATGAAAAATGAAGATTTCCAGAATGTTCATGACCTCTCATCGGGACAAAAAAAACTAAGACCCTGAAAAAATGTTTCTGGAAAAAACTCGCGAACCAGAGAACAGGACTTCTTCCCCTTTCTATATTTCTCCATACCTCTCAGTGATAAAGACCTCTCAGATCTCAATCCCTTCCTAGCTTTATACTTATGAAAAGGGAAATTGATCCAATAATAGAGACCAAGAACAATTTTGGAATACCTCACATGATTTAGCACACACTCTTAGATATGGGAGCCACAAGTTCTAGTTTATTATCTGAATTCAAAAGAGCACAGACCCGATCTTGCACTTCCCATGCCCAAAGCCAGAATGCAAAGTTGAAGTAATAGACTGCTCTGCAATAGAGAGGGAATGTATCTTAACCAGAAATATTTCTATGAAGCTAAGCTATCGATCAGCAAAAAGTTTCAATAAAATCACTATTTTCTAACAAAAGACTGTTTCATGGGAAGGTTTTCGGCCATCTCAGCAAGTGCTCTCTCCTTTTGGATAATTTAGAACAAGGTTTTGTGGCAATATGTATCTAACCTAGATCAAAAGAAAACAAGCAGGTGATTGGTGGCAACCAACACAGCTTTACCAAGGGAAAATTGTGCCTGACGAATTTGGTGGCCTTCTACAACAGTGCCACAGAGCTGATGGATAAGGGAAGGGCAACTGACATCATCTACCTGGACTTGTGCAAAGCCTTTGACACAGTCCCACATGACATCCTTGTCTCTAAGTTGGAGGGACATGGATTTGACAGAAGGACCACTCGCTGGATAAGGAATTGGCTAAACAGCCGCACTCAAAGAGTTGTGGTCAATGGCTCAATGTCTCTCTCAAGTGGAGAGCGGTGACAAGTGATGTTCCGCAGGAGTCGGCACTGGGACCAGTGTTAACATCTTTGTCAGAGACACAGACAGCGGCATCGAATGCACCCCCAGCAAGTTTGCTGATGACACCAAGCTGTGTGGTGTGGTGGACACGCTGGAGGGAAGGGATGCCATCCAGAGGGACCCTGAGAGGCTTGAGAGGGGGGCCCAAGCAAACCTCATGAAATTTAACAAGGCCAAGTGCAACGTCCTGCACGTGGGTCAAGGCAGGCTGGCGAGAGAATGGCTTGAGAGCAGCCCTGAGGAAAAGGACTTGGGGGTGTTGGTTGACGAGAAGCTGAACATGAGCAGGCAATGTGCACTTGCAGCCCAGAAAGTCAACTGTGTCCTGGGCAGTCTCCTACTACAGCGCCAAGAGCTCTGGGCTGGTCCTTGAGGAGCTGCTGTAGGAAGAGCAACAGCTCGCTCTGTTTCCCACTCCAGAGTCCCAGGCACTGTCAAAGCATGGAGTGCCGACCGCCCAGAAAAAAAAGGGCACGGTTATTTACGAGCTCTCACAACTTTACAAATAGCTTCAGGTAAGAAAGGAAGACAAATGTCCCTCCACAGAAAGTCAGCCCTTCGAACAAGCCAGTCCTCACTTTTTCTACTCCCTTGCTGTGACAACACGCTAGATCAGCTGAAGGATGCCTTCCACAGAAACGCCAGCAACAAGGCCTATGAATAATAAAGTCAGCCTTGCTTGTGGGCAAAGGAGATGGCACGGTCACAATCACTGTTACTGTAGCCAAGAATCTGTTCCCAGGTAACAGTGTCAGTGCAGGTTTCTGCCACTGACACCAAATGAGAGGCCTAGAATAGAGCTGTCACTTCCCACCAGTGTCCATCATTCCTCTGGACAGCAAAAGGAGCAGCAAAAGTTGTCAGGTCACCAGAGGGGCTGGGGGCTCCCTGGGGTCCCTCAGGGCAGGGCCTGGCATCCAGGGCCTGTCGCAGCCCCATCCAGGGGACGCAGATGGGGGAGCATCAGGGCAGCCCCAGCCCCAGGCATCCAGGATGTTGGCCTGTGGGCAGGCCTGGCCCGGGGGGCTCACGTCTGGGCAGGGCAGGCCTGTGGGGAGCTGGAGTCCAGCCCTGCTGTGGCACCACCAGAGCAGGGGCTGAGGGCCCCAGGGGTGACATGGGGCCCAGGGGGTGGGCAGGGCCCTGATAACAGCAAGCTCACCCCACCAACGCTGTTCCTTTCCTTCTTCACCTGCCTGTTTCTCCTTTCAGCAGCTTAGCACCGAAAAATTCAATTTCACCTAAAAAGTAATCTCTGTTGCCAGCAACTTAAACTGCTTAAGAGTCTCAACAGACACCAGCAAGAAGTGGAGACATGGTATTGAGCTAAACACCTCAGCAACTTATTCCAATGTAAATGACAATTTATTCTCCTGTGGTGTAACACTGCAGACTGCAAGCTATCAAACTGTACAGTGAAAGGCATGGCATTCATTCGGCAAAAAATGGTCTATACATCATGACAAGTGTGCAATGGCCTGAACTGAACACCAAAGAAGTGCATTTTCATTTAACAAACACTTTTGAATTTCACTGAACCAAAAAGGTTGCATGAAACACGGACAGAAGAATTTTTTTGAAAGGTCTATGTTGTGCTCTGAGCCTTGTTCTGGCATGACCTAAGCTCATAAATCCCTATGAAGAGGGATGAGTGTATACACATATCATTCTTCTGATCCATTCAGCAGTTCTGGCATATGCTGTGTCCTTGTGTGTCCTTCAGGAGGACATAGAGATTTTTGCTTCTCTGGAAAGAGAAAGAATTGCAAGAAAGTAATCCAGAGGAAAATGTGTGGATGGAAAAGCTGGAAATGAACCCAACTGTTCCAGAATCAAAAATCACTAATTAAAAAAATGCAAGCCTGATGTGAGTACAGGGACAATAATCCTGGGTGCCCAAAAAGTGTCTCAGTTCGTTATTCTTCATAGGAGGAAAACTGACAACTGGTATTTCTCAGAATTTGTTTATTCCACCTCCGCTATTTCACTAGCATATCCATTAACTGGGTTACTATATACACATACGTTATTCTATTTATTGCCTTTCTTTTAGCAAATTAAAATCCATTACCACACCTTAAGAGTCAACTGTGGTTTTCACCTACGGTACCTTTGCTGGTGGCTTTGCTCTCTCACTTATCACTACTCTCCAGCTCATATGGTAGAAACTCTAGGGAGAGCTCGTTCAGTTCAGCTAACAGCATTCTTCTTTGCTTTATAGATGCAGTATCTGCTGCTGCAGACCTGCGGAGGCAGAGCTGCCCTGTGTACAGGGATCCAGTAAAAGGTGCCCTGCAACTATATATTATTGAGATTCTGATACTAACAGTCCTACTGGCTTGCTAAGGGCTCTCAGCAATCTCTGGATAATTCTCAGTAATACTTTCAACTGAAACATCCAAGGCATTGATGAATTCCAGCCTCTGTTTTAAGGACCTGAAGCAGTAAGAGGCAACAGAACAGCGGAGTCAACAAATATTGTTCTCATTATCATATTATATTTAATTTGTCATCGGTAAGGGAAATTATAGTAACAGCAACTACTTCAACAGCTTATTTTTAAGTTAATTTGTCACATACTTCTCCATATAACAGTAGCAAAAGTTATTTTTTACTACTGCAACAATCAATTGCTGTGGCCTGACTCAGAGTAAACAGTCTGGGAAAAACTTTCAAAGCATGCTCCCATTCATAAAGAAGTATTCAGCTTAAACAGGCTTAAACTGAAGCAAAGTCTTGAGAGACAGCAGCCTTAGAAACAAAGTAAAATAATGCAAAAATGTTCATATAATGATTTTTCTGATACTGTAAATCTGTTGGGCATGCAGGCTGTCTTTTACATGTCTAATTTATTCTGCATCTGAGAAGATTTTAAATTCAAAGATGGTGAGCCCTGAGGATCACATGCATGAAGAAAATGTAATTGCTTTTCTCTAAATTAATCAACTCTGTCTAGTGTATTGTGTGCTGTAAATGTGATTTTAAAAAATCTGATTGCAGTGAGCATACAAACTCACAGTAAATCATTCTGTTTGCACACACTCTGAGCCTTACAAATTTATCACCCAGCAATCTGAAACTTGACGATGTATTAGGCAAATGGAGACCGAGGTGTATTCTGAACTCCTCCTTTACTCAAATTAATGAGATTATTTTAGATTTGTGTTACTGTAACAGATACTACCAAATGGCTCTTATAAGGCTTTCATTAATTTCAGCAGCAGCACATCTTTATATTCTCCCTTAGTTCTTCTTCCACATAATCTTGCAGCAGAACGCAGCTGGTGTTAATGGCATCTGGAAATGGGGAGATGAAGCATGCAAATTTATGAAAGATGTAGAAATTACTGAAGGGGCTTAAACTGCAGAAAGATAAATCAGCCACACAGCTCTCCTAATACTGATTAATAGTTTGCTGATGAAATTTAGAAACTAATTGCTGCTGCTGACACCCTTCTCTGAACTGTGTTGTGGACATTAGTCATAGAACCAGAAAGCTACTAACCTCATCTGACAAGCTCCCTACACTGCTACAAAAATGGAAGAAGTTTTTAAAGTATTGGTTGAGCTCCAAGATCAGCTGCCAGAAAACAAGTCTGGGAAACACAGCCCTATGGGATGTTTTCAAAATCTTTTGTCCTTTTATAGCAGAAAATTTGCTTTTATTTACTTGCCAGAGCAAAATCCCCTATATTATAAAACCAAGGCTCTGTATTATTTGGAAACTCCAGCTGGCCTGGATTACCTGGGTACACAAGCAATCGCTCTCCAGTACTATTCCATTAATTTGAAGACAGAATGTGGATCTGTAAAATCCCTTTCTCTTGCACAGAACAAGCTTCCCACTCTGATCAACTATATAGTACACTTCTTTAAATAGTCCATGCTGAAAGCTAAAGAAGTGCCAGGTTTCAGTTCCCTAAATAGATATGATTGTGAAGAAAGCTGTAAAATTGATTCAAATGCCCAATACTAGAAGAAACTTGTGAGGGTCATGCAGCTTAAGACATTACCAAAAGATTCGCAACAAGGTAAATATTTATTGCTAAGAACAGCTTGCATTGCTAAAGTATTGGTCATCTACAGACCAGACTGTGTTTTACAAATAAACCTCCTGGCATATGAAATATTTTCAGAGAGCTGCACTGAACAGAAAGATGATAAGGAAACTGAGGCAGTGAGAAAAAACAAACTTTAGGCATCATACTCATCATGTAACTGCCCTGTAGGCACTGTCACAATTCATTTACACAGCAACTACACACACATTGAGGAATTTAGACCCAGTGCTCAAATTGTCTGGATGCCCATCTTGAGGGTTCAGACTATCCTTGAGATGGCATCGGCCTAAATGGGAGGTCAGGAGGCTTTCTGCACTGAAGTGCTGCACGTACAACAAAGCTCGTCTGAACAGAACACACCAGGGTGCACAGTTTAAATATTGTTGTAGAGCAGGTCTCCGTCCTGGGCAGCAATCTGTTGTTCAAGCACTCTTAGAATTCACAAGAGACAGAATTCATCAGGAATCTGAAGAATTAATGATAGGATAGGAGAACCAGATTAAGAGAGGAACACAGAGAGTGCTAGGAATGCAGACTGGTCTGAGGTCAGGAGACAGGAGAAATCAGGAAAGAGGCTACAGTACAAAATGCAATTGTTTTAGGGCCCTATAGAAGGATACAAGCAAAGTAAAAAAGTCAGCTGCCGGAACAGAGAGAAGTTAGAGGAATTATCTTGCTTGCCTAGAAGGACAGACAAACTCCAGAGGCCCTTCCCTGACCTCTATGAATAGACACTTGTCCCTCTTTCCCAACTTCAAAAACCATTTGATATGCAGGTTAATAAAGTTAGGCCAACACAGATCACAATGTCTTCAGTGTTTCAGAAGACAAGGCCCTGAAATCACTCCTCTTGATTCCTATATAACTGGTCTGAGGGGCTGAAGTCCACCAATGCTTCGGACAGCCTATATAGCAAGGCTTTTTCAATGTGGCAGGGAAATTCAATGTCTGGCTTTTTTTATAACTGCACCATAAAATTCTAATGACAAGTCTCCTCAAAGGAGGCAAGGCTTGTACTAAGCAACCAAAGATTCTTTCATCTTCCCTGAGACAGAAAGCATCTCCAAGAGTCGTACTCAACATCACCAGGTGAAAATGGTTTAGAAGCCTTACTCCCCAAGCTGAAACAGGCCTGAGTCAGTGGTTTGTTGTGGCAAAATATATATGGCACATAGAGGCCACCCCTGCATGCTTTACCTACCCCTGCATGCATAGGAGATGCCATACTCTGTGGGTTAAGGTACCCAGATGTACTTTAGCCCATGGGAACTCACCATCAAACCTCTACAAGCTCCTTCCAGTCAAAAACAACACTTCCCCTTCTTCAGCTTGATGATGAAGGCAGGAGTTTTTAACAAATAATTTGGGTGCTAGTGAGGTCATACTGATGCCTCAAGACCCATCCAAGTTTCATGGAAATATCTGGTTTTGGATGAGCAGGGGGAACTTCAGTTATTTAGAGGAAAGGTGTACAGAACTGGCCTGGGGAAAAAACATCAAAAAGTAGTGAGAGCTGAAAACTCCCCAGTCCAGACCTCTCATAGGCAAATGGAGACACAGTCAAACAACCCACCGTGACAAAAATGGCAGTATTTCTGAAAAGTACAAGACCTTCCTGTCACAGTCTCCAAGTTATAACTGACTCAATGACCTTGCAGGACACCCTTTGAAAACATCTAGTCAAAAGATAACACTCAAGGCAATACAAATCTCCAGTAGTTGCAGCAATTAAGCCAAGGCACTCAGGTTGCTAATAATGGGACACTGGTTCCCATCCACAACAGAAAGAAAATAAACATTCATTATTGATTTAAATTTTCTTACTTTTTACAGATAGTCACCCAAAAGAAATCTAACACATTTCTGGTTCCTCCATCATAGTCCATTCAGATACTTACAGAAAGGTTAATGACAGGCTAACACATAAAGTGGCATGTTTATGGCCTAAAGGTATCCTCATTTTCAAAAAAAAGCAGCATTCTGCTCTAATTGACCTCAACCAACAAACTTAACACTAGACTAAACTCCGTCAAAGCAAAATGACATTCGTAACCAAGTTTCACTGCATGATAAATTCTTCTCTATGAAAAGCTGCAGTCAATTCATTATATACCAAAATAAAGAATTCCATGGAACTCCCATTATTAGCCAGGCAAATGGTTAAGCTATTCTGAAATGTGCTTATTCAGAAACACTTGTAGCATAGCCCTACTAGTAAATAAAGAGAAGAAAGAATTTCTGTGCCAGAATCCAAGAGAGAAAAAAAGAAACATTGTGAAATTTATTCAGTTTTTCTCATGAAGCAAAACCTTGTTTGTGCAGATTTACAGACTACATATTTTAATTGTTTGCTCTAATGCTTCCTGACAGTACTGAACTAAGGAGGGCCAGATCTGTCTGTCATTCTGCATTCTATTGTTTTACTGGTTCTTGGGACAGATAAGGGAGAAATACTTAGGGAAAACACAGATGCTGACATGCAGCTGAATTTCTCTAATGATGATTTTATCTGACTTTTGAGTAATTGCGATGTTCCCAAAAGGGGCATCTGCAACGGGTTTGATTAGACAAACCATTAGACATGGTAATCCTCATATCTTGTACACTGAATCATATTAGGAATAACCATGTGGTTTTTCCATAGAGGCAAAATCCCTCCAAATGCTCTTGCAGTCTGTGAAAAGACTGTTACAGTGGGACCAGTGAGACCTTTCTGTATCATGTCCAAGTCAGAAGAGAGTGCCAGGCACCTCCAAAATCTGTCTGGGCAGTGATAATATTGCCTCTGGCTTCTGAATGTCCATCTTTCACACTTTTCATACCTCAAGGTACTTGACACCAGAGTTGCAAGAAGACCCTCAAGATGTGAACAACTGACAGTTCTCTGTTCCAGTACCAGACAGAGCTAATTTGCTGAATCTTTGGCTTTGACTTGAGGCCCTCAGGAAAATTAAAAGTTGCCACTAAAAGTCTGTGGAAATTTTTGACTATATATTACTTACCAGTGCCAAAGCTTTCCTCTCCACAAAGTGAGCAACGTCCAGAGTCCATGAGATTGGAGAAATATCTCCATCCTGCTGGTGTCTCATACACAGGAACCTTCATTACTTTTGCCACTCTGGAAAAGACACAATAAAACATCACACGATTAAGACAGTGCTTTTTTTACATATGGCCTGAGATTGGTTGAGGAATGTTCTAGGTCTTGCTATATCTCCTGACAGCTGGGCTATAAGTAAAAAAAAGAAAACCAAACAGATCAGATCAACAGCGCCATTCAAAACCGATCCTTGTTTCAGAACCTGACTTCAACCAGAAACCAGCTATGTTTATACACTACATGTAGTATTCTGGAAAATGTAGAACCTCAGCTCAATATGCTTTGCCAGTATCTTTCTTTTGTTGCTGAGCAAGAAACAGTTATATCTAGAGACACACAGCTTTGTACTAGTATTTTAATGAAAGTTAAAGCATCAGGTTTACAAAACACAGGTGGCCAACACTGACATGCTTGAAATACACTTGTACTTCTGTTCATGTGTTCAAAGCCCAGACAACACAGGAACATTTCTATGATGAGGCATCTCCTCTAAAAAAGCCTTCCAAGTCTCAGCCTGAGTCTGAACTTACTTTCCCCGTCACATCTGATGCACCTCAACAAAATACTGCCATTAGTTGGCTGACCTGCCAGTATTTTCAAGAACCAAAATAAACCCATATAAGCTGGGTGTGCTTTCCTTTCCACAGGTCATTAACTGACAATTATTCCTATTATAAACTATAATAAAAAAAATCATTTCTTGGACTAAAAAAACAAGAAAGAAGAAAAAAACCAAAAAAACCCCACTAACAAGATGGAATTTATGCAGAATGAATATTACCATTTTTCTTGTTTCTAATTGTATTTGCTTGTTTCCATTGTATGCCTAGGTTTTTCAGAGCCAACAGGTTTTTAGTATGAAAAATAAGACTTGAGATATAGTCAAGCAATCCGACTGACTAAAAAGGACCTTATGATTGCCCTAGGATTGCTGCAGTAATCACACCCAACACACACTTCCTAAATTCCACACCCTGAGAATACTTGATGTGAGGCAATTTACATAACTTTAACTACAGTCAAGACCAGGCAAAGAAGGTCAATCAAAGCAGGATTCAATGCACTTAACACAATCCACCCAAGAAGTTCCATGTCAAGGTGAAAGCAGTCACCTCTTTGATCAGCAACAAGACACCCGTTTTCAGACAGTCCATCACTCTGTTTTAAAGTAGGCATGCAAGGTAGATGGTATGAACTGTCCAAATATGCAAATACTGACCTTTTCAAAAGCTGGTCATAAAGGCACCTAAATGATACTTTAGACCTTAAGTATTCACTCTGAAATCTTTAAAATATTAATCAGCACTGGTATTAAGTCTCCAAATCCACTTTTTTAAAAATGTAATAAATATCCATTGCTATTTGAGTCTCCTCCTACTCAGCACAGGTGTTCATTTTTGTACTTATACATTACCTCTAAAGTGTTTTTTAAATATGAGTAAGAATTGCTGACACTTATTTGAAAAGAGCTGAAGAGGTACCTGGAAAAAAAAATTACCAAAATATTTAATTCTAAACTTGTTTTTCATGTCTCTAGTTTAGAAGCGGAGGCAAGTGTATACCTCCTTTCTTTATACACCACTAGCTATATTATTGGCCCTTAGAGTTGCTGCTTCATAAGGGAGGTTACACAGTGTGGAACTGAACAAGTCTCTGACCTGCTCTGCAAAAACTCAAGAACACAAAAGGATTTAATCTCTGTTTGACAGTAACTGTAGGCTGGGAACATGACTGTACTGCCAAAAAGTAGAAAACAATCAAGCAGAACACAATGGCTAAAATGCTGGAAGAGCAAAATCAATTCTCTTGAGGTAGCATAACAATACAGGAGGAATATCTTTGCTTGCAGAAATGTTCCCATATCCTGGTGCTGTTTTTGGAGAAGGAAATTCTTCCCCTTTCACTTTTCTGTATTCCTCTAGTCTGGAGACAAACAGCCTCAGAAGGACCTACCTTGACCAGCACCAAAGGCCTCCAGGGGCTGCAATGGTTTTCAAAGATTTCTATGCACTAGGCTAGCACTGAAAATACATATATTGATTTTGTTGTTATTGGGCTTACTTTAAACTAAGCCTTTCAAAAAAACAAACAAACAAAAACATAATATACATATAAACATATATATACAAAGTTTATAGTGAAATAGGGCAAATTGTTCCTTGCAAGATTTTTTTTTTCTTGACTCTTAGGACTTTAACAGAGTAAATAAGTAGAAGCACACTGAAAATTAAGCATACCCTTTTTTAACTGCCATTTTACTGAAATAAAGAGTCATCACTGGAAGACTCAAGAAATGCAGAATGTGCCTTTATGTATCCTACAGACATTTAAGGCAAATGATCACCCCAGGAAACATGAGAGGGGTTCCCACAGAAGATGTAGAAAATTCTTAAAAACAGCAGACTCAGATAAATATTGTGCTGCATCAGATCAAACAAATATCAATGCAAACTACAGGAAAATAACCTCAGAGGATGGGGGTTTCTGGAACTTGTAATTCTGCAAGACCAATTGCTGGTGAATCTCGGTAAAGGTTTTTGTTTTATCTATAACAAATCACAGATCCATTAATTACTATTATGATGTTTTTAGCAATGTACCTTCACAGGACAGTTCGAACAAGGCTACATATATAGAGCCTTTTAAGTTTCTCTTCTTTCTGTACATTTACACTGAGTACTCAAATTTGGGGACTTAGAAATGGAAAGTCAAGTGGTTTTGTTGTTATGTGAGATCCCTTGGTCAGACAGGATACTATTTCTCTCAGAAAGTGAGTTTTAGAACTGGTGCTGCAAAGAGTTTATATCCTGCAGAAGTCTCACTCATCAGAGTAAATTTTATATGTCATTATATATATGTGTAATGCATCATCATCAAGATACTGATGCAGTAGTGCTCCTGTAAGGGCACTCAGTCTCCCAGTTCTCTGGGGAAAGGTGTTAGCTGTCAAAAGGCCCGACTTGATAGATAGAAGATACTTCCAGAGCAATTCAAAATAAAACCAAACAAAACAAAACAAAAAAAGCCATACGAAGAGGTTCCTTTTCCTAGTCTATTTGAAGTAAAGGAATTCTATTTATGTCTAACCACACACTTGATATACTTGTGTTTATATGCTCCACGAGTATGAACTATGTAGAAAGAATACAAAGAACTGTGGATGTGCTGGTTCTTGTCACCTCAGACATTACATGGGACCAACTTCAAACAGTGTTCTTGCTTGCCTTCTTTCAGCGTTAAGTGCTCACTACATCAATGAGATTACACAGTAAAGTTTCTTCTGTCTGTGTGTAGCACTAATTCAATCTTGCTAGACTGGGAAACAGGGTTTTTATATTTGGACCTAAACTGAAGGGCAATCACCTGAGTTATTTTACCCATATCAGAGCTAAGAGTATTTAAGAGTTCCCAATATGCTGAAATATTAATTAAGAAGAAAAGAAAAATCAAAGAAGAGTGGGCTGTACTTTTTGCAATTACACACATTATTTAAAACTATATTTTGTGACTTTCAAAAAGCAGGAGCAGCTGTTTCTAAATGGGGAGATAATAAAGTGAGTTACAACAAGAAATTTACCCTCCTACTGTAAAAATTCACTCTCATTTTTATTTTGAAGATCTAGTCCCACGCTACCTATACTGCCTGCCCACTTTTTATTAAAACATAAGGAGAACACATACAACCCAACCATGAGAAGCAGTCTGAGTTATTTCATCACTAGAAAATACAATTATGTGAGCGTTTAGTACCAACACATAACTGTTAAGCCAGTTCTTGAACTCTACAATAAACCTCACCAAAGCATGAGCTGGCCAGTTCATAACAGAGGTAATAATGAACAAAATAACAATATTCATAAGGAAGATCAGCATTTTTGAAAATTTCCTGTCAGAAAAAGAAATGAACAGCTAATTCTAAAATTGCTCCCGAAAGCTTTAACAGACTAACATGGAAAACTTTCTTGTTCTGCACCAGGCAACTGGACAATTTATTGTACAGCTGCACATCTGATTATCCCAGATCTTCTTCTGTATGTTTTATAGTCATATGCATGTCACCTAACTAGGAAAACAGAGGGTGCGGCACTCTTGATAGCCCAAATTGTTTTCCTTTGAATTACGGTAAAAATATTATCCTGCTTAAAATGTTTAAAAAGATAACTTTCCATTGGGGAAAAAAAAAATGTTATTTTATTTAAAAGGGTTAAAGGAATATCCATGTGATACCTTTTGTTCAGATTTCCGCCCAGCAGAGTCAACAGACTATTTTTCACAGATGGGCTAATAAAGCAGAGTGGTCCTTGAGGATATCTCCCAGTCACTGTGGTTTTGCACCAGCAAAACACCACTGACTTCAGCAGAATTACCCTGACTTACATAAACAAAAGTCAGAGGTAAATTTGCTCCAACCTATTCTCTACAATGCCACAGAAAGTCCTGATGAATACATATCATTCAGATACAACAAATGGCCTGTGGCAAGCTGACCTTCTTGTGCCCAGTGAAACTTTTATAACTTCTGAGAATAGATCAGTCAATCAAACAAAATTATCCTGGCAGTCATGATGCCTGTTCACCACAAAGATAAAGGTCACAACACTGGGGAAAGGGCTTTCTTTGACAGGTCTCATGAACTACTGTAAATGACTGGCTAAAGTTTTGCACTGTAGGTGAAATGCTGGCTAGGGTAAACTGCAGCATCACATTCATTCTGGAGTGTTAACTTGGAAGAAGACAGAGATATTAATGAAAGAATCACTAAAGAAGCTGCTATTGCATGTCCTTGTTTCTCCTGTCTTCCACCCCCTGCAGGTATCAGCTGCATCTGTGAAAGATGCTCACATGCACTTGGGACAGCAGGCTTCAAAACACAGATTGGTGTCTCATGGACACGTTTTTTTCCATTCGTACTCCTTTCTGTGAAGCCAGCACTGAGGCGGACAAGGTGCTGCAATTTAGAGAGCAATAAGCCTGATTCTGCAGAAGGGTGAGCACTCTCAGGCCCTAACGAACAGAAA